GGAAGGGGGTGGGGGGGGGGTCCGCCCTCCAGGCTGCTTCCTTCGCGGGAGGCGCCTTCCCACCCTCGCCCACTCGGAGCCCCGCGACGCCTTTCGGGACGGAGCTGGCCGGCTCCGCTGAGCCCCGGCATCCCCTCAGCAGCCGTCTCGGCGGGGCGATCCGAGCGGGGCCCGGCGCGGAGGCTCACCTGGAGGAACAGGATCTCCCGGAAGGTCCTCTGCAAGGGAAGAGCGGCAGGAAGGCTCGCGCGGGGCGGGCAGGCAGCGAGGGAGAGCGGGGGCCACCGGGGGCCTCCCCAGCCCCCCCAGCAGCCACCCCCGCCCCGGGAATCTGCCCCCCCCCGTCGCCGCCCGCGGGCTTCACCTGGGCGTCGGTTCGGTTGCGGAAGGCGTCGAAGATCTTCTTGACCGCCACGCTGGCCCCAGTCCGGCGCTCTGTCGCCTTCCAGACGATCCCGTAGGCCTGTGGGGGGAGGGAGGGGCCGGGCGGGGGTCAGCGAGGGGGCGGCGGGCGGGGGGAGACGAGGGGAGCCCCCTCCCCTTCCCGCGAGCGCACCCCTTTGCCCAGCCGCCGCTTGATCTCGTAGCGCCGCGCCACCGGCTCCTCCACCTCGGCCGGCGCCCCGCTCATCCTCCGGCCCGGCCGCCGCCGCCGCCGCCGCTGCTAGACGCGGTTGCCCTGGCAACGGCCGGCCCCCGCACGCGCGGCCCTGCCCCCGCCCAGCGGAAGCGCCCGCCCTCTGGCGTCCCCGAGGCCCCTCCCCTTCCGCCTCTCCGGTCCCCTTCGCCCGTGTGGCCCCGGGATCCTCCCTCTGCCGGGTTCCGCTCGGGGCTCTCCCGCCGGCCTGGAGGTGCCGGGGCGGAGCTGAAGGGCGCTCGGCCTCTCGGCGGGACACCCTCCGGCGGTCCGGTCAGCTTTTTCAGTCGAGGCGACGGATCGGTGCCTTCCGCGCGTTCCTTGGAGCCCGAACTCTGGTTTTCCTCCGGTGGGCAGCAAGGAAGCGGATCTTCGGGCTGAATTCTGAGTCCTGGAGGAGACGCGACGCCTCTCGACGGCCCTTCCCCGTGTCTAACCGGAGTTTTCTTCCGTTTCATCTGTGGCGCCAAATGCACGCACCGTTTCTTTTTGCCTCCTCCTGTGCAAAGATTTGTCTCCCTCGCCCCCTTTAATAAAATGCCTTTTGGTTTTCCTGGAGTACTTTTGGTTCCGATGGCCACAGGCCGCCTGTTACGTTCATCCACCTGGTGCAATGAGCCAACGAGGAAAGTGGGATTGAACCAGAATTCTCTTAATTTCAAAACACATAGACACATTTAACCACAATTTCAATTGGGAAAATGTGATCATCCTAGGCCAGGCCGAGTCCAAACGATACCCAAATCCAGAAACTGCCAAAGGAGCCAACAGCAAACAGGCCAAAGAACCCTGACAGGGAAGCCACTGCGCTATAAACTGACAGCAAACACACACAGGCCCCTTACTAGCACTGATGTTTTTTTACCTAGTTTGGGTAATTAAATACCTGCAGGAAAACAAGCAGGCTCAGGGCATCAAGGGCTCCTCAAGTGGAATTCAAATACTTTATTTCTGCACAAGAGCAAAGTGGAAGCTCAAAACTGACAGTTTCAATACATTCCAGCTTGAGAAGGAGAAGGAGACGTTCTAAATAGGTGTGCATTGAAGTTTTTATACTTCCTCACAAAGAAGCTCAATGTTCACTTACACACTCATTGGTTACCTACTACTTCATGTGTGTACTGATTGTGTGTGCAGTTACATATGCTATACAGCAGTGGTTCCCAAAGTGGGCAGTACCGTCCCCTGGGGGGCAGTGGGATGACTTAGGGGGGCGTTAAGAGACAAGGGGGGCAGCGGGGGGGGGTGCTAAGAGGCAAGGGGGGTGGCAGAGGAGTGCTGAAGGTAGCCCCCTCGCAGAGCGCAATTCTGCCTGGGGCTCTGTTGGCTGCCAGTCAGCTGAGCACTTCCGGCAGGGGTGAATTATGGGCAGTTCAGAGAACCAGTAAAATGCACCACTGACTGGCTCCGCCCGCACCGAAAAACCAGGAAACTAATGACAATGCACTACAGTTTACATCCACGTGGTGATACTGATAGA